CTTTCCGGACAAAGTTCCGGTTCCCGTCCCCTTAGTCAAGCCCCCAGGGCACCAAGAAAGCCCGAGCTCGGGTACGCTTCCGATGTTCAGATGGGGCACGTCGCCAGCAGCCTAATCGTAATGCATCCAGTCGCATGGACCGATCGTGCGATGACCCCTGAGCTGCTCATGGGTCCAGCTTGACGAACTGCATCGGTCTCGTTAGCTTGGGGGTATTGCTACTTAGTGCATTCATCGAGTCTCGACCGAAATCCGTACCTGCTGATCGCAAGTCGACATCATCGAATGTAGACTCACTCGCAGTTCCGGGCTACGATCGATTCTACTGACACTACACATGGCCATTCGTCTATCGTCACGTCTGGCCGCGCTCGCTCTCGCAGCGGCGTATAGTCTACTCCTGCCAATCATCTCCTTATCGCAGTCTATGAGTGATACCTGCACGCGTCCCTCTCTTTCATCACTCTTCACTACTCCACATATACACTTCGGCGCCGCTTGAAGGTCTGGGTGGGGGTCTTAGCGCGGCCCCCAGCCACCCCTCCGGTAAAGAGGATAAAAATAAGCCTCTTTCGTGTCAAAAGAACTAACCCTCAAATTTCCTCTTTCCCGTCACTCCCATACCCCGAACCACCAACTTCATTTGCCGCTCCGGCTCGGGGTTGGGTGGCAGAGAGAGGGTGGCGGGGGGAGCTGGAGAGGGGCTTGCCAGCTCTGACGCTTCCGGAGTGGGCGTGGCTCGTGAGGCAGGCAGCTGGCACGGGCGGGGTGCTCAGTACACCCCTCCCTGGCAGCTGCCTCACCCCAACTCCCTGAATGAGAGAGGCCCAGTGGCCAGTGCACAGGGACTGGCCAGGTCTCTGCACCCACCCCGCAGCCAGACTATGGGGGCCCTGAGGCGGGGGTCCACCCTCCTGCTGCCAGGCCCCCGGGCTGTGGACAGGGTGGCATCAGCCCCACGCTCTCCTGGAGGTCCTGACGCCACGCACCTGGGCACGGGCTCCCTGCCGCGGGACAGGGCGGATGAAGTGCACCATCATCATCATCGCCCACAGCCCTCCCACCTGGAACACGACACCTGCTCTTCTTGGCTTCGCTCTGTCCTGCCTGCACCCAAATCCTTCCAAAACAGGGGAGTTTTGCAAGAAACCAAAACCAGTGAGACACTCAAGCGAACGAAAACTTCGGGGAGAGACCACGTCACATGCCTGGGAAGGCCGGAGCAGAAGCGGGAGGGGCTGTGCCTGTGAGGATGTGGGGGCAGAGAGTGGCCCTGTCCCCAGGACAGACCTGTGCCCCACACGACTGAAAACAGCGGCCCAAGAGCAAGGCACACAGGGTTTACGGCGTTACTCGAGACAACCAAGATGCGCCTATCCGGGGCGGAACGCAGTCCTGAAACTCGGCACAGACCAGGTGAGCCCTGGACGTGCGACGCCAAGCCGGAAGCCAGGCACGAGAGGCCAGCCGCTGTGTGAGCGCGTGGGTGCAAGGTGCCCAGGGCAGGCAGACCCACAGGGGTGGCGGGGCGGGGAGCATGGGCAATGCCTGCTTAGTGGGCCTGGGGTCTCTGGCGGGGCGGCCACGATGTTGGATGTGCACTTTAACGACGCTGAAAATAGCAAAAGTTCTGTGAGCTTTACCACAACAGCGAAGTTCATGGGAGCCCGACCCAACCCATCGGGACGGGCACCTGCTCACTGGAGGGCTCTGGGCTGGGGACAGAGCAGCCGGGAGAGCCCGCAGGCTCAGCGCAGCCACCTCCCCTGGCCCTGGGTCTCCTCCTCTGTACAGGGGCTCCCCCTGGTGGACCCGGGTGAGGCCGACAAGCAGGCGCCGCGACCACGGAGTGGCCGCTGTCACTACAAGGGCCCTCACCGCGACCTCACGCTGCAGAACGCGGCGTTCGTGAAGTATCTCAGACACACAGAAAGACACGGGACGGCAAGTCCAAGTTCTTTCCCTCCCAGGCCCGTCACCCTCACAGGCGCAAAGGTTCGTCCTCCAAACGTCCCTTCCTCTTCGGAAGGGAAGAGGAGCAGATCTGGCCAATGGTCTCCCCCGCCCCCCGGGCCTGCAGCCGCTCTCCCAAGGCAGCACATGGCGCTGTGAGTGAACGCGTGTGCACAGGCGTGTCTCGTGGCCTGGCCGCCGCCTCTGAAAGCCACCTGACTTGGTTTCTGAGCCGCATTCCTGGAGAGTTCTGTGAACCTGGGAAGTGGCTTCGTGGCACCTATCCCCACTTTTCAGACGGGGAAACTGAGGCAGCTCAGGCACCGGCACTGGGCAGCGCGGCCTTTCCTTCTTTGCTGCTCTCAGGGCTCGGCAGGAGGGCAGGGAGGCTGTGTGGGCCTGGGGGCGCTCACGTGCCATTACCCTCCGAGCTGCAGGCCCTACCCGGCCTGGGCCATCGCGAATGGCTGGCTAACGGCTGCCCGTGGCCCTGGTGAGGAAGGATTCTGGGGTGCATGCTGGAGGCAGAGGGTGGGGCTCCCCGGGAAGGTGCTTCCTCCTCCGGCTGGAGGTCCGGTGCTGCCTGGGGCTTTCAAACCACGGCCCCAGCCTGCAGCCAGGGATTCAGAAGCCCCCTGGCGGGTAGAGGAGGGTAGCGGGGAGCCAGACGGCTGGGGAGAGCCCGGGCAGCTGGCCGCACGGGCCCCTGCACAGCCAGGGAGACCGAGGGCTCTCTGCAGTTCCGGGGTGCGGCCCCCCTCTCTGGCGGTACTCACCCTGGGAGGCGCCGGGCTGCTGGCCCACGGCCTGGCCCAGCTGGTCCGAGAGCCACAGCTGCATGCGGATGAAGGGCTCACGCCCCTTCTGCGTCAGCTTGCTCCACGGCTTGGGCCGCGACAGCATGTCACTCACGCTGCCCTGCGACAGGCCCAGCACCTGCAGGTGGGTGGGGCAGGCCAGCTGTCAGCACCCCACAGGGCCCGTCAAATCCCACGCACCCCGCTGTGCACCCTTCCCGATATCCTGACACGGGAAGGACCCTGAGTGCCCCCTCCTCCAGGAAGCCTTCCCGCACCTCCCACTAGTTACTACCCCTCCTCTGAGCTTGCCTGGTTCTCTGCCTGCTCCTCTGCTAAGGCAGAGTTGATACCACAAGTGCTGGCAGCGGGAGACCCCAGGCTGGGCTCAGCCCTTTAGTGGCTGAACCAGGAAGGCGTGGAGGGCCCTGGGGGGGGGGGCGCTCTCAACTGACCCGGGAGGAAGCCCCTCCCTCTTTCAGCAGGCACGGAACTGCCCAACGGGCGGGGCCTGGGGCCTGGGGGCCACGGTCCCGGCACCCCCACCCCTGCCCTATCCACGGCCTTCACCTTCTCCCCGAAGATCCGCTGGCAGATGCCGTTCTTGGCCAGCTTCTCCTTGACCTGGCGCGTCAGCTCCAGCGTGTCCACCTCGCGGTACATGTACAGCTCGTACTGCTCAGGGGTCAAGGGCGGCACTGTGGGCTTGAGGGTGCGCGGCACGTAGGCCGGGTAGTAGGCCAGCCGCCCGCCGCCCGCCTCGGCCACGGCCCCCTCAGCCTTGAGCTCGCCCACCCTGGGGGGCTCGTCCTCGCCCGCCGCAGCCTCGTCCTCAGGGGACGCGGTCCCCTCGTCGCCACGGGGCCAGGCCCGCCCGTTGGGCTGGCTGGAGTAGCTGGAGGAGGACGAGGAGAGCGAGGGCGAGACGGAGGCGTAGGGGCGGCTGAGCAGGCCGCGGTCCGAGGCCCAGTGCTGGTCAAAGTAGCCGGCGTCGCCGATCTCGGACTTGACCTTGCGGATGATACTCTGCACGAAGGCGGCCGGGGACAGCACCGGGAGCGCTGGCCCCGCGCTGCCGCTGGGGCCCCCGCCGCCGCTGTCCTCCTGCTTCACATAGGCGGGGGCCCCGTTCTGGCTCACGGCGCCCAGCGAGGGCCGCTCTGGGGGCGAGGGAGGCCCGGGGCGGGCCCGGGGGGCCGCCTCCATCTCCAGCAGGGCCTGCTGCTGGGCCTGCATCTCGCGGCGCGCCTGCTCCAGGATGCTCTTGATGGCGTCTTCCGAGGTGCTGGTGGCGGCCGTGCCGTTGGGGACGCTGGGCGGGGCTGCCGGGTTCTTGGGCTCACCTGTGCGGAGGAGGACAGGGTGGCCAGAGGCCCACAGGTGGGCAACCACAGCGGCTGAGCAGCCAGGCCAGTGCTCCACCCTGGGGCTGAAAACCAGCTCCGGGGAAGGGTGTTCCGCGGCGGTCATTAACGTACAGAAGAGACGCGTCTATTCCAGGTGCCATCACCCAGCCACGCCGATGGCCAAGGACAAGGACAGAGGAAGCCAGCCGAACGGCGGCGTGAGCCCACACGCGCCCGGCGAGGGGGTGTGCTCACACAACGGAATGCAACATGGCAGCCAAACAGGATGCCACCTGCGCCAACACCTGCGTGGTCGTTTTTTTCTTTTTAACTTGGGAAGGAGAGCGTGGGAGAGCATGTGGGCTCCCAGCCTCCTGTTCAGTCCCCAAAGCCTGCGACGGCTGGGCTGGGACCTGGCGGGGCCGAAGCAGGGCGCTGGGGACTCCACCTGGGCCTCCCGTGTGGAGTGTGTGTCACCTGCTGTCTCCCAGGGTGTCACACAGGAAGTCATCAGACCCAGGCATCCCAACCCGCGCGGATGTGAGGTTCGTTCTTTCTTTTTAAAAAGGATTTATTTATTTGAAAGGCAGAGTTATAGAGGGGGAGGGGAGAGAGAGAGAGAGAGAGAGAGAGAGAGACCTCCCATCTACTGGTTCACTCCCCAAATGGCCGCAGATGCCAGAGCTGGGCCAGGCTGAAGCCAGGAGCTGGGGCTGCACCCAGGTCTCCACAGGATGCAACTGGCCGTCCTCCGCTGCTTTCCCAGGCGCGGTAGCAGGGAGCTGGATCGGAAGTGGGGCAGTGGGGACCTGACCTGGCGCCCACTTGGGACGCAGGTGGCCGCTTAGCCCGCTGCGTCACAGCGTTGGCCCCGAGGTGCGATCTTGACTCCAGGCTGGCGAGTGGGAGCAGCGCGTCCCCGGAGGTGAGACGAGCGCTGCAAGCTCTCTATGCGGCTCCAAACACGCGACATAAACAGCGTGTGGTCCGTCTCCCACACGGCCAACTCGGGGGAAACGAGAGAACCAAGATGCGGGAGACAAATCAGACAGGAGGCGGGCGGCAGGTGAGGAACGCGCCAGCGGGCTCTGCGTTCTGGAAGTTTCTAAACCTTAGGTCGGGCCACAGGCTCGCCAAGGCTCATTCTGTTGCACGGGCCGGCCACGCAGGGGGCAGGCGCGAGCACTCTGTGTCCTAAGGAGTGACAGCTGACGTGGAAGGGAGAAGCTGCTGCCCTGTGTGCTCCCCACAGCCCCCCTCTGGGCTCTCTCCATGAGGCCTCCATCTCATGGACCCTCACGGGACCCCCCCACCCCCGATAGCGCCTCTCGCCTGTCCTCTACGGGGGCAGGTGTTGTGGCCCGGTGGGTGAAGCCGCCTCCTGGGATGCCACATCTCACTTCACAGTGCTGATCTGAGTCCCAGCTACCCCAGGCTTCCAATCCAGCCTCCTGCTAATGTGCCTGAGAGGCAGCGATGATGGTCCAAGTACGTGGGTCCCTGCACCCACACGGGAGACCCCAGTGGAGTACCTGGCTGTGCTCTGGCTTAGCCCTGGCTGTTGCAGGCATTTGAGAGTGAATCAGTGGATGGAATCACTTTCTCTGTTACTCTTTTTTTTTTTTTACAGGCAGAGTAGACAGTGAGAGAGAGAGACAGAGAGAAAGGACTTCCTTTTGCCGTTGGTTCACCCTCCAATGGCTGCCGTGGCCGGCGCGCTGCGGCTGGCACACCGCGCTGATCCGATGGCAGGAGCCAGGTGCTTCTCCTGGTCTCCCATGGGGTGCAGGGCCCAAGGACTTGGGCCATCCTCCACTGCACTCCCTGGCCACAGCAGAGAGCTGACCTGGAAGAGGGGCAACTGGGACAGAATCCAGCACCCCGACCGGGACTAGAACCCGGTGTGCCAGTGCCGCAAGGCGGAGGATTAGCCTAGTGAGCCGTGGCGCCGGCCCTCTCTGTTACTCTTGTAAATAAACGAATAAATACATCTTTAAAAAAGACATACAAATCAGCCACTGAGGCCAACTGGGGGGTGAGCCATCGGATGGAGGACCTCTCCCTCTCCGTGTAACTCTGACTTTCAAATAAATAAATAAATCTTAAAAAAAAGAACCTTGGGCCCCTGTGCTCATGTGGGAGACCCAGAAGACGCTCCTGGCTCCTGGCTTTGGATCAGCTCAGCTCCGGTCATTGCAGCCAATTGAGGGGTAAGCCATCTGATGGAGGAGCTCTCTCTCTCTCTCTCTGCCTCTCCTCTCTCTGTGTAACTCTTTCAAGTAAATAAATAACTCTTTAAAAAATACATACAAATAAAAAAACTGTATAGTGTGAGGGCCCCAGGGCTACATGAGTGGGCAGTGTAGGCTCCTAGCTGGGCAAATCCCCCTTCCCCCCTCACCCCTCCCAGGAGCCGGGCAGATGTCTTGACTCCCAGCAGCAAGCAGCAGCCACCAGGGGGCAGCAGACACTGCAGAGTGGAGGGGCCGAGCTGAAGCCGGCAGCCAGGTTCCTGGGCAGCCAAGGCCTACGCTGGGCCAACTCTGGACCCTTCTGCAAGAAGCCCCAGGCGTGTGAGAGGCACACACCGGCAGTCATCGGTGACACTGCAGACCTAGAACACCAGAGACGGAGCAACAACTGTGCACCATCACCTGTGCTGGTGGCTGGCCCTCCGGTGCACCTGCCGGGCACCAGGCTTGCTGTGGAGTGCTTGCGGGTCCCAGCTCATCTGACTGTCACACGACTGGTGAAAGGAGAAGTAATACAGAAACCAGGAGGATGCAGGCACCAAGAAGCCACACTCTGCCCCGCGGTCACACAACTGACGAACAGCATCTGGCCCTGAGCACACAGGAGTCAGGGCAGCATCTAGCCTCGCAGGACGGGGGTAGGAGGCTTCCTGGAGGAGGTGGTAAGGCAAGAGCAGGGGGCAGCCAGGGCAAGGGTGCCGGGGCGAGGACGGTGTCTGAGGCACAGGCAATCGGCAGCCGGCGTGACTACAGACAGTGCCCGCAAAAGGCGGAGAGGCCTGGCGCAGCCTGACAGCCTCAGGGTCCGAGGCCTCGCGCGGGGCTTGGCATCTGGTCTCGAGGGTCCTGTCCCACGTGTGAGCCCTCCAGCGTGCACGAACTCACCCCCCTTCTGTGACTCGATCTCCTTCTTGGCCTGCTCCAAGATGCTCTTGATGGCGTCGTCCGAGCCCGTCTCAGGCGTGCGGATGCGTGGGGTGATGCTGCCTGGGGAGGCAAGGAGGCGTGTGGCGCGGGCGAGGCCGGCTCCCTTCCGTCCCCGAGGGGCTGCAGATCGGGGCCCGGGGGCGGGGCTGTGAGTGTGGCAGAACCGCTGCTTAGCCCGTGCGACACAGACACACTGTGGGCACGGCGGTTCTGGCTTGAAACAGCGCAGTAGTGAAGCCGCAGTGAAGACGGTGCTGGCCGGCACCACGGCCGCTGCACCTGAGCTCCATACCCGCTGAGTCCTCAGGACTCCACCGACAGAGGGAGAAACCGAGGCACAGGCCGCTCTCCGTGATTACCATAAGGACCCGGTGTGGCAAGGTTGGCCGTCACCAGGCCGTCTCACAGATGGGTGAACCGAGGCTGGGAGTTGCTCAGGGAGTATCTGGCGGGGCAGGAGTATCTGGAACCAGTCTCTTCCTACTGTGGGCCTGAGCTGCCCCAGAAGGGCTGGATGGGCAGGCCCCGGGTAGGAGGGGCTAAGGTGCATTTCCTTCGTCTACAGAGGCAGGGCCGCCTGCCCGGGACACGCGGCTGGGAGGTGGCGGAGCTGGGCTTGGAGCCGGGTCCGAGCCCCCGCTGGGCACCCTCGGCTGCGCTCACCTCGCTGCCGCACCTGGATGGTCCTCAGGGCCAGCACGTTCTGCTCGTCAGACAGGAACTGCTTCATCTTGAGGAAGGGCTCCTTGCCCTTCACCGTGAGCTTGCGCCAGGGCTTGGGCCGGGCCAGGATCTCGCTGACCGAGCCCTGCGACAGCCCCAGCACGTAGTGGCCGAACACGCGCTGCCCGATGTTGTGCTTCAGCAGCTGCTCCTTCACCTGGAAGGCGATCTCGGCCGTGTCCAGCTGCTCCTCCTCCGCCCCCGCCGAGCCGCCCCCGTCCGCCGGCTCCGGGCCCCCAGGCGGCTCAGGGGCTGGGGTGGCGGGGGCCGTGGGGGGCTTGGCGCCGTAGAAGGCTGGCGGGAACACCAGCAGGCCGCCTGCCTCCCCCTTGAAGGCGGCCGGGGGCATCATGTGCTTGGACAGCAGCGGGTCCCCGGCCAGTCTCTCCCCCGAGGCCAAGCCAGGGAAGGGGGATGTGGAGAAAGTCCGAGGGCCGTCGGGCCCCAGGCCGGGGCCTAGCAGGGGCTGCCCAGGGCCGGGGGACAGGGGGTCTTCAGGGCCCGGTGGAGGCGGGAGCTGCTGGGGGGAGGCGAAGGCCGGCTCTGTGCCCAGCGGGTCCTTGATGGAGTCGTCCTCCGAAGGCTCCTCCTCTGGAGCGCCGGCGATGGACAGACAGACAGACCAAGAGGTGACGGATGGACAGAAAAACCAAGAGGCAGACAACGGGGGCGGGTGGGGGGTGCTGCAGACACCCACAGCCACGAGCACCCCCTCAACTTTCCAACCCCTGAGCTGCCAGGTCCCGGCCAAACAGCATTTCGGGAAGCCCCCTCCTCACATCAGGAGCATTACTCAGCACCTGACCCCTGCCAGCTCACAGACGGGGACAGAGGTCACAGGCTACAGGGTCACGCAGCCACCAGGCGGGACCGTGCCAGGGCTCAGGCCAGCTATGGGGGCGGGGCGGGTGGCCCCCGGCCTCTTCAGTAAGGGCCCCTGCTGCCTGCTCAAGGGGCCCGGGGGGAGTGGAGCATTCTGGGGGCCTTGGGAGGGCCCGGGTGAGCTGTGAGCTTGAGGCCTGGATGTGGGCAGACACGCCGTGGCCAAGGCACACAGCAGGTGCCCAGTCAGTGGGCACCCCCTTGCTCTACCTGTGTGGAAGGCACCTGGAGCAGGCCAGGGACCCTGGGTAGTCCCCGTCCCCCGGCCCGAGGGCACCCGTCCTCCCCTACCAGGGACCCTGGGTAGTCCCTGCCCCCCGGCCCGAGGGCACCCGTCCTCCCCTACCAGGGACCCTGGGTAGTCCCCGTCCCCCGGCCCGAGGGCACCCGTCCTCCCCTACCAGGGACCCTGGGTAGTCCCCGTCCCCCAGCCCGAGGGCACCCGTCCTCCCCTACCAGGGCTGGCCAAGAGACTGGGCTTTTCCAGGAGGAATTTCTGCGCAGGGAAGAAGGCCTCCTTTGCTATGAGCAGCGAGTCGTCAGGCTTGGCCAGGCCCTGGGGAGACAGGCCATAGGGTGAGGGGCGGGGCTGGCGGGGGGCTCTGGGCAGCCCCCCGCCGCGGGGGCCCTTACCTGGGGGAGACTGCAGGTGCTGGAGGCCAGCTTCATGGCTTTCAGGATGCTGTGGAGGAGGTGGCGGGCTGAGGTCGGCCGGGCCCTGGGCTGGAGAGGCCCGCACAGGTGGCCGCCCACTCCATCCCCTGCGGAGGACGCCCGCTCCACCGGCCCCGTCCTGAGCAGCTCCCACCCTGCGTGGTTCCAGCCCCCCACAGGTGGAAAACATTCCGGCAAAAAAACAAGCCAGGAAGTCCCCAAAGCACAACTTGAACTCGCCATGTGCTGAGTAACTCGGCTGCCCCTCAGGACGGGTGACACGGGGGCGCTGTGTCATCAGTAACCCAGAGGTGACTCCAGGTGCGGGGGAGGAGGCGCATCAGTCATTCGCAGACCCCGCCCCGGTTCGCGTCCCCGGGTGATGGTACAGTGAGCGTCACCCGGGGCCCACCCTGGGGACCACACCCACACCCAGGAGGCCTGAGGGCACCACTCCAGGATGGTTATGGAGCGAGAACAGCACAGAGTGGGCCGTGGGGAGGGAGCCAGGTGGCCCCAGCAGGACAGAGCACTGGGGGGCTTGGGGGGCCCACTGCCTGGTACCTCAGTTCTGTCTTAATTTCTTCATAGTCAGACTGTGCCTGGAGCTTCTCTTCCAGCTTCTACAAAAGCAAACCAAGACGGTGAGGCCGGCGCGCGGGCTGGGCGGGCCGGCCGCCTCCGCTCCTAGGTCCTACCTCAATGGCCTCGGACTTGGCCGTGAGCTGCCGCTCCAGGTCGGCGATCTGGTTGGCAGAGGCCTCCTCCAGCTCCTGCAGCGAGCTCTGCAGGTGCTGCACGTCCTTGAGCAGCCGCACGATCTCCCTGTCTTTGGAGGCCAGCGCGGCCTCCAGCCGAGGGCCCGAGCACAGCGTGAAGTTCACCTTATCCTGGGGGTGACGGGGAAGGGGCCTTGAGGGGCTGAGAGGAGCGGAGCCGGCCCCCCCACCCCTGCCCCCCGAGCAGAATGGCGGTCCAGTTGTGGGGACAGCGCGCGCTTGCGGCGAGCAGGTCACTGTGTGGTCTACGCGTCCCCGGGCACACGTCGCACTTGAACTGAGACATTCACGAACCCCGACAGCTCCAGAAGGAAGTGGTTACTGGGCAGTGGGCGTGGGCATTTGCAGCAGAGTGGACAGTGTGAACTGAGGAGGGGTGTCTAGAGGTGCTGTCCCATGGGGACACCCCCTCCCTGGCACCAAGAGACCCTCGAGGTCACACTCAAGGTGCTGCAACCACAGGCTGTGTTTCAGGTAGCTCCTTCCTCCTCCTAGTCCCCTGACGGTCCCAGACCCACGGCCGCTCTGGGCAGAGACCCGGAGGCTGCGGTTTGCGGCACCTGAAGGCAGGCTGGTCACAGGCTCAGTCACAGATCCATCTAAGCAGCACCGGGGAGAAGCCACCAGCAACCCAGCTCTCCCAGCCCAGCTCTCTTCCAAGAAGATAAATGCCAATTAAAACAGGAAGCGGATGCCATTAATACATTAAATTAATTAGCATCGAGCACCACTGTTGTGCTCAGGAAAGCTCACCCCCCCCAAAAAAAAAAAAAAAAAAGCTAGCAAAGTTCCCTGTGGCTGATTAGCACAGGCATTTGCTGGGTTCCATGGGGGTTAATTAAGAACCATTGGCAAGTTCCTCACCAGCTCTCTCACTGTCTGTCTCGTCAGCCCCCTTCTCCCTGTGTTCACTCTGTGTTGTGCAGTCACCCAGTTCTTGCATGGGCACACACAGAGGTGCACACTGACATGCACACACACCAAAATACACAGGCACTGAGGAGACACACATGGACACATCTATGGCCAAAGAGGCCATGTGCTGTCACGAACAAAAGCCCAGACACACCAAAGGCACACTGATAATACGAGCAGCAGCACCAACTATTTACTGGGTGCACATTTTGAACCAAGCATCTCTTCAGGCATATGTAATGCTCCGATAACCCTGTGAGGTACAGACAAAGGAACGGGGCACAGAAGTCACAGCAGACACGCACCTACACACTCCCATGTCCATACACACTCCAGTATTCAAGAAGGTACAGAGCCCTGGGCCTGTGCATCCGGTGAAGTGACAGCTATGCAGCACTTCAGGTTCCTGGGTGGACATGTAAGTCACACGTCTGCTGTCACACGGGAACCATGAATGTAGTGCTAACTCAGCACACAGACATCTGGGAAGAGGGCAGACTAACCTAGAAACGCCGGCAGCCCTGCACAGGGCCCTAACCAGGAGGAGAGAAGGGTGAGCTGACCAACCAGACGTGATTCAGGGGCCTCAGGGCTGGTGGCCGAACACGGACTCTTCACAGTGCACGTCTGGGGTGAGTCACCCAGGCATGTTTTGGGAACCAATGGTTGGGAGCGAGTGTTAAACCTCAGATTTTGGTGTCTGGCCACTGAGGTCCTGGTAGGGACTAAAATCCAGCCAGGGCATCAGTGTTCCCTGCTTCAACCAAGTGGTGTGAGAGCAGCGGTGAACAGCGACCCCTGGTGACAGACACTGAAACTGCAAGGCTGCATGTTGTTCAAACTCACCCTACCCCGCTCCTCCTGGCTGGGTAACTGGGGGGCAGGAGGCCTCCAAAGGAAGACGTGGGACTTCCTGTTCATCTGTATGTACGGAGACCTGAGTTTGGAGGGTTCAAAGAACTGGGGCTGTCTTTATTTATTTATTTATTTTTTTTGGACAGGCAGAGTGGACAGTGAGAGAGAGAGACAGAGAGAAAGGTCTTCCTTTGCCGTTGGTTCACCCTCCAATGGCCGCCGCGGCCAGCGCGCTGCGGCCGGCGCACCGCGCTGATCCGATGGCAGGAGCCAGGAGCCAGGTGCTTTTCCTGGTCTCCCATGGGGTTCAGGGCCCAAGCACCTGGGCCATCCTCCACTGCACTCCCTGGCCACAGCAGAGAGCTGGCCTGGAAGAGGGGCAACGGGGACAGAATCCGGCGCCCCGACCGGGACTAGAACCCGGTGTGCCGGCGCCGCTAGGCGGAGGATTAGCCTAGTGAGCCGCGGCGCCGGCCTTAAGGGGGGGGGCTGTCTTTATTTTGCCCTCAGGGGATGAAGTCAATGCTGGTACTAAGTTTAAACTTCACATTGGCCATGGCAGTGAAGACATGATGCCCGATGTATGCACAGAGACCCACACACAATCACACTCACAACTTCACAAAAACACAATCAACACGCGAAATGTCACCCCTCCCCACCCACTGCTTGGACCTCAGCCCTCAGCCTTACCCCACCAGGGCCCTGGGGGGAGCAGCAGGCCAGGCGGATGGAGCTGTTGACCGAGGCCAGCTGTTCCCGGAGACTCTCCACCTCGCGCTGGGCGGCCTCGGCTCGCTGGGGAGGAGAAGAGGTGAGAGTGGTCCAGAGGTGAGCAGGCACCACGCGGGACCACCCTGCACCTCTGCTGTGTCCTGGCACCTCCTTTTCTCCCGGAGCCGGAGGACCTGCCAGAACCCTGTGCCTGCTTTTGGCGGGCAGGAAGACATGCTCCTCGGGGTGGCTCTGCTCCCTGGGATGCTGGGACCCCAAGGGGAGTCAGACATAGGGCAGGAGGGGCAGGGCTGTCTAGTGGGACTAGCAAGCTGTTATGCCAGGGGCTGCTGCTCTGGCATAGTAAATTAGGCCTCCACCTGTGGTGCCGGCATCCCACATGGGCGCTGGTTCGAGTCCCGGCTGCTCTACTTCCAATCCAGCTTTCTGCTATGGCCTGGGAAAGCAGCGGAAGATGGCCTAAGTCCCTGGGCCCCTGCTCCCATGTGGGAGACCCAGAGGAAGCTCCTGGCTTTGGCCTGGCACAGCCCTGGTCACTGTGGCCATTTGGGTGGTGAATCACAGGATGGAAGATCTCTGTCTTACCTTCTCTGTTTAACTCTACCTTTCAAATACATCCATCTTTTTTTTTTTTAAGATTTACTTATTTATTTGAAAGAGTTATGGGGGGAGGGAGGGGAAGGGAGGGGGAGGGAGGGAGAGAGGGGATAGAGGGGGAGAGAGGGGGAGAGAAAGGGAGAGAGAGAGGGGGAGGGAGGGGGAAGGGGGGGAGGAGGGAGGGAGGGGGAGGGAGGGAGAGAGAAGGAGAGAGAGATCTGCATCAGCTGGTCTATTTCCCAGAAGGCCACAACAGCCAGGGCTGAGCCAGGCTGAAGCCTGGAACCCCATTTAGGTCTCCCACATGGGCGCGGGGCCCAAACACGAGGGCCATCCTCAGTGGCATTTGCCAGGCCACAAGCAGGGAGCTGGATCAGAAGCAGAGCAGCCAGACCACAAACTGGCCTCCACTTGGGATGCTGGCATCACAAGCGGTGGCTTTACCGGTTACATTTTGTTCCAGAAATGGTACCAGTCAGCTTTGTTTGGGGAAGGGTTTTTCGGTGTGTGAGTCCAGAGAAAGAACACTTTTACATTTCTGCACAGGGAGGGCCTTCTGCGCAAATCTGACAGAAGCTTGGGGTTGGGCTCAGTGCCCAGCCTGGAGTCAGCTTGCGACTTAGGGTTCCCTGGGGAGGACGCCAGGGGCCCCCTGCCAACTGGTGCCTGCTCTTCAAGAGAGACGAGACCTGGACCCTGGATCACAGAGCTGTTTTTTTTTTTTTCTTTTTTTTTTTAATGATTATTTGAGAGCGAGCGAGCGCGTGTTTGCTCCCATCCACTGGGGATACCAGCACCAGCTGGGGAGGTGAGGGGCTCTAGGTGCAGACCAAGACTGAAATCCAGGTCTCCCGCGTGGGTGGCAGGAACCCAATCACTTGAACCTTCACTGTTGCCTCCCAGGGTCTGCATTAGCAGGAAGCTGGGAGTCAGGTGCCAGAGTTGAGACTTGAACCCAGGCTCTCTGATATGAGAGGCAGGCGTCTTAACCAACGGCTAGGCTCGATGCCCGCCCGAAGCTGGGCCGTGGAGCAGTGAGCCCCACCCCTCCCTGGGGAGCAGTTTACGTTCTGGGGAACTTGGCCTTCTGGCCTCCCTGACACTCAGCGCAGTCTCCGTGCCCACCAGACAGCACCACCTCTGGAGCCGTGGGAAGCCACGGATGAAGAAAATGGAGACTCGGGACGGGGCTGGGGCTGGCAGGTGGGCACCCCAGGGAAGGCAGGGAGTCTACCATTGCTCAGCAGGTGGCTGGGTTAAGGGAGGAAGCCGAAGAAAGCCCAGTGGGGGGTGCAGGGGAGGAGCAAAGCAGCCTCCTCTCACTCACTCCGCCTGCAAGAGGCCACAGCGGCGCAGCCTGGGGATGGCTCACTGCGCCCCTGTCCGGCCTCCAGAGATGCCGGGAAAGGCCGCGGGGAGGGGCGCTCTCCGGGCTCTGCCTGTGCCGACCCCTGGGGCTGGCGTCACCCCTCCACGTCCTCTGGTTTCAGGTCCCTTCCTCCAGGATACCTTCGTGGATGTGGCAGGCCGGCGCCCCTTCCCTGACTGCTGCTGCCCCGGTTCTGAGCCCCCCACCCCAGTCTGCCCCGGGAGCTCCGCCCCTCCCGGTCCCAGCCCTCAGCAGGCAGCACACAGAGCTCCATGGCCGCTGGGCCCCACGCTGGGCCGCCAGGCGGCCACGGCCTCCTCACCTGATTTGCCTTCTCCAGGTTGGTCATGATCAGGCCGACTTCATCTGCCCTGAGACACAGAGACGAGGCCCTGAGGAGGGGTCCTGGCAGCCGCCAGACCCCCGCCTGGACCCCAGGGTCCCACTGGAGAGAACTCCGGTCGGGGAGACGGGAGCAGGTCTAGGTGCACGCCTCTTCCGGGACGCGCTCCCTCCCCACCCCCAGCGACTGCCAGCACCCAGGGCCTCGGGGCGGGCCTGTGGGGGACACGGGGGTCTTCTGGCGTAGGCGGAGCTCCCTTCCCGGGGCTCCTCACGGGCCATTCCCTCCCGTCCTCAGGGACTCCTCCCTGACTGCTCGGGGAGAGGACCCCGCGCTCCGGCTCCCTGCCCACCGTTCTCCTTCGCGGCATTCCCACGTGCCGAGAGGAGGGCTGGGCACGCAGTAGGTGCTCTGCAGCGTCTGAGGGCGGGCTGTCTCCCTGCTACCACCTCCTCCCGGCCCAGCCCACACTGGGTCACAGCAGGTGCTCAGGGTTGGTGGAACAAGCTGAAGCCTGTCTGAGTCCAGAGGTCTCCTGTGAGTGCTGCTTGGCCCCCAAGGGTTGGACAGCCTGGGTGGGGGCTGGGTGAGGCAGCGGCCCCTACCCAGCAGCCCCTCAGCCCCATCCCAGGACGTTTAGTTGCAAATGAGAGAAGCTGTGTGTCTGGTGGGGCGGGAGAGAGGAGCAGAGCTGCTTCACAGAATGTGGCCTAGGGCAGGGTCGGGAGGAAGAGCCAAAGGAAGAGGCAGGGCTGGGAAGGTCAGGGGAGGCAGGGCTGGGAGGGTCAGAGGAGGCAGGGCTGGGAGGGTTGGGGGAGGAGGCAGGGCTGGGAGGGTCAGAGGGAGGAGGCAGGTCTGGGAGGGTCAGAGGGAGGAGGCAGGTCTGGGAGGGTCGGGGGAGGAGACACCTGAGCAGGGCACTCACTTACTTGGACGCTGCCTCCTCGTCGTACTTCCGCCGCAGCTCAAGGAGCTCTGTCTGGGTGGCCTTTAACGCTGGGAAGGGGTAAAGAGCCAGGATGAGACGCATGTCTGCAGGTGGGGACACACTGGGCCCCCCAAGGAAGAACCACGTCTCTCAGGGAGTCCCGAGGGCAGAACGGGGGTGAGCGTAGCGAGGGAGGCCCTTCCTCTCAGGTGGAACTGGTGACCGGGACGGAGTCTTTCGGCCCTCGAGGGCTTCACGTTGGTGGGAAGGCGCGGGGCCGGGCTGGGCAGTGCAGTGAGGCAGCTCCAGTCCAAGACGCGGGTGCGGGCAGAGCTGCTGTGAGCCTGTGACCTGGGAACAAGCCTTAACACCCTCAAGTCACATCCACCTGCCTCTGCAGCCCAGCAGGCAAGGGGGCGGGGGAGCCAGGCGGCCACCAGGTTCCCGCGGGTGTCGGTCGCAGCCAATGAGATTCTGCACTGGGCCACACGGCCCCGCACGCCTGGTGCCTCAGGGAGGCCTGGCTTCCTGTTTGCCCCAGACCTGCCCCGCCCCCCCAGGGTCTGCCCTAACGCTGGTGGCATGGGTACCTGATGCATTCTATTTCCAGCCCCCTCTCCACTCAGCAGTGGCCCCGGGGACCCCCAGCTGGGGAAGGTGGCCCTCTTCGCCCCTCCCAGACTCTTCCTGCCCTCCTAGCTCTGGAGGCGCCGAGCCCCGGGGCGTGCGTGCTGGACACCCACCTGCGTGCAGGACGCGGATTTTCTCCTCCGCCTCCCCCAGCCTGGCTGCCAGAGTGATCTGTACTTCTTGAAGGCCCCTGCAGAGAGACCAAGCCTGCTCATGCTGGCCACGGCCCGGGCCTCGCCGGGGCCACCCAGGCCAACCCTCGTCCGGCTCCCGCTCCCTTCGGCCGCCCCGTAATCGGCGCCACCATCTCTTTAAGGGGTCCTTGGACACAGTGCCAGACACTGGTGTCCCGGCTGGCCCCTCGGGTCTCTGCCAGCACCTGCAGGGGCACAGACTGGCAGCAGCAGGGGGCCTTGGCTCTCGGGCCTCAGCTTCCACCTCCGTAAATGGGGTTTCCGACAGGACCTGCGTCGTGGGTGCTGTGAAGCGGGTGCTATTCAGTCTCCCCGGGCACCGCTGGTCACTGCGGTCCCAGGGAGGCGCCTTCCCCCTTGCTGTGGCAGGGCTGTGGCGGCTCCTCTGGCCTGCTGGGATGGAGCTCAGGGGTGAGCCACACCTCCCAGGACAGGGGGCCCTGGCAGGACTGGGGAGGGTGTGCGGAAAGCCAGCCCCGCATGTCTGGCTCAGTGACCCTAGGGAAGGAGTCCCTCTACCTCTGGCCTCGTCTCCTGTCCCTCCCTGCAGCCCACTCCTTGCCATTCCAAAATGCCAGGCATGTTCTTACCCCAGGGCCTTTGCACTGGCTGTTGCACTGTCTTCACATGCTTCTGCCCTACACCCGCCAGGCCCACTCCCTCGCCTCTCACCTCCCGGCGAGGTCCCCACCGTCACCTGGGCTCTGTAGCCTGCTCTGTTGCCTGCCTCGCCCTAACTACAACTTCTCTGCTTTTTCTGCTTTGCTCCTGTGTCTTCCTCACTACAGGGGAACCCCCAGGAGGACAGAGTTCTGTCGCTGTTGTGTCCCAGTGCCTGGAACAGTGCCTGGTGTACAGCAGAAGGAAGGAAGAACAGGGAATGAGCGAGAGGCTGAGACCGCCCCGTCAGGCCGCCATGACTGCCACACACCCACGGGCACCACCTCAGCTCGGGAGTGGCCACCCTGTGACGTCAGGTCAGGGCACACGGGCTCATGTCTGTACTCAGCTGACCTACGCGGAGCAGAGCATCCCTGGGCCTTGTCTGACTGGGGGAAGGTGTCAAGAGCCAGACAGACAGGAGAGACCCTGCCTGTGCCCGCGGCCCGATAGCCTGTGGCCCGTGCCGGCCTGCTGGGCTGTTCCATCCACCCCGTGTCTCTGCAGAACGCCGGCTGATGCACCACCCGCTGCGTTTTCCACGGGGGGGAAACCGAGGCTCAGAAAGGTGACGTGACCTGCCTGGGGCTCGAACCCAGGCCTGCCGGAGCCCTCCCCCTCCCCCTCCCCTCGCCTCGCCTGCACTCCCGGGAGCCCGCCCGCCCCTTCCCCTCACTTTTGTTTCTCCGCCTCATTTCTCTGCAGCAAGGTCTCTGTCAGGAGGGCTTTGCCGGGAATGCCCGGGAGGCGGCTCCCCTCGGTCAGCGTGGGTCCGGCAGGAGACGTCCCCTCTCTCTGCTCTGCGGGGACAGAAAGGGGCGGAGATGCCCGGCGCTGAGGGCAGTGAGCAGAGCGCACCCGCAGGTTCACTGCAGTCAATTTCTCCAAGCTTTCCCAGACACAGCCCGGCCGGCCGCTGGGACCTGCAGGCCAAGTTCCCACCACGCCCACCTGGGGCTTCCTGCTGCCCAGGCCTCCCCTCCACCTTGATCCCTCGCACGGGTTTGGAGAGACACCGAGTGGACGGGCAATCCTGTGCACATCACCAAGGACGCCCAAACCTGGGCCCTTCCCAAAGGAAGGGAGCCCCGCGCCCGCCGTCCGCCCTGCCTCTCGGACACTGCAGGCCAACGCAGTCCCGCGCTGCTCATCCTCTGGGGGCTTCTTCCGCTTAGCCTCGCGTCTCCCGGGGCCACCACACGGCAGCGTGGCGCAGACTCCATTCCTTGCCACGGCAGGAGCCGGTCCCATTACAAGGACACTGGAGCGACTTCCACTTCCGGCTGCGAGTGTGGTGCTGCTGGGACCCTTGGCGCCCACGTCTGCTGCCTCCCTGGATTCCAGTTCCCGGGGTGCAGCCCCAGCAGTGGAGTTGCTGGGCCACATGGTCACCCCAGGCTTACTCTACCGAGGACTGCCAGGCTGCCTCGGCTCCCCGCCGTGCGGGGCATGCGCTGTCACCTGCAGCTGCACCCACGGTGGCTCTTCCCGGGGACCACCTCGGGAGGACGGTGGTTAGGGCCTGGCCCCTGAGGGTGGGAGCCTGAGCTGGGATCTGTGGCCGAGCTCGTGGGGGGGCCTAGGCGGGAAAACCCAGGAAGGAGAGGACAGGGCCCAGGTGTGGCCCAGGCGGTGGACAGGAGTCGTCCAGCACTGACTCTCCAGGAGGAAGCCTGGAAGGACCGCGGTGAGACACGACGAGGGTCTGACAGGGGTCTGACGGGCAACGCGAGAGTTCTGCAGCCTGGGCTTCCGGCCTTGGGCCCAAGTGACTGAGTTTGCCTCTGTGCTGTTATCCCTGACTGCTGGCGGCCCAGGGGGCGGGGGCAGAGCTGGCAGCGTGCAGGGAGAGCTTCCTGGGGAGGGACAGATGATGTCAGAGCACGGTGATGCAGGGGAGAGGCGTCCTCAAGACGAGAGGCGGCTCAGGGCTGGTCCCTGCCAGTGCCTGCCGCCTCTGAGACCCAGGTGCAGCCAGCGACGCCGCAGAGAGCTGGCTCTGAGGCCTGGCACACGGTGAGTGCTCTCGAGAGGGGAAGGCCAAGCCTGGGGGAACCCCAAGGATGCAGTGGGGTTTCCCAGGGGAAACTCAGAGGGCCCCACGGGGCATTGGAGAGCTGGGGTGAAAGGCTGCTCCATCCTGGCTCCCAGACTGAGCCTGGAAGGGCAACAGGGTGGGCACAAGAAGTCCAAGTGAGCTCTGGCCACTGCAGGTCTTCCCTGGAGAGCTTGCCCAAGGCGGACATGGCAGGTGCTCACTAGGACATGACGAGGGACTGGGCTGTGGGACAGGAGAGAGAGAGAGAGCGCAAACCTCCTGGGCCTGGTGGCCTTAGGGACAGAAGAGAGAGAGTGCACATCTCCTGGACCTGGTGGCCTTAGGGACAGAAGAGAGAGAGTGCACATCTCCTGGACCTGGTGGCCTTAGGGACACACAGAGAGAGTTCACATCTCCTGGACCTGGTGGCCTTAGGGACAGAGAGAGAGCGCACATCTCCTGGACCTGGTGGCCTTAGGAACAGAGAGAGAGAGTGCACATCTCCTGGACCTGGTGGCCACAGTGCTTTCTGTCTAGGATATGGCTTATACAGCAGTCCTCGGGTCAGACCTGGTTCTGCCTGCTTTGTAAATAAAGTTTTATTGGCACATAGGCACACTCACTCATATCTCTGCCACGGCTGCCTCTGCACCTCCGAGCGTGCACTGCATGGCTGTGACGCCCCAAATGTTCACTCTCGCCCTCACCAGAGAAAGCGGAGGCCCCTGGTTAACCTTACACACCACTCCCTGGACGACCACCTCCCACGGCCACCTCCCTCTCCTCGGCGAGCCTCCCCTAGGTTGTCAGCCATCTGACATGTGTATGGCTGACTCCTTCACTCACTCGGTCACAATCACTGTGTCTTTCCAGAAGGTCGGAGCCACAGGGCGGGCTCCTGAGGGTCTGACTCCAGCTGCGCCCCTCAGACTAGCCCGGGGCCTGGCACACGGCTTGATGAAGGCCCAGGGCTGAGATGGTCGCCGAGGCTTCTACCTGCTTCCCGGCTCCTCCCCCTGGCCCAGGTAACCACCGGGCTAACTCTGCTGTCATCATTCCACTTTTTATCACAACCGTGCACACTGGGACACCATACGTCAGCTCTGGGAGTTCAAGGCTTCGACGGAGAGGGCCCGGGGCTCAGGGTGGTCCTCCAGGCCTGTAGATTGATCTGTGCTGTGGGCAGACGGCTGCCTGTCCACTTGGATGCTGTTCACGAGCCCTGGAGTGATCCGGTCTCTGGTCACCAGCCCAGCCTGTTCCAGCTCTGTGGCGACATTCTCGCCCCATCTCCTTGGGCACGGTGTGTGGGCACACACTGAGGCATGCGTGTGCCGGGCCCGAGGCTAGGCCCACCTGGAACCTTTCCGGCGAGCGTCTTCCAGAGAAGCTGTCCCAGTCACGCACAGCAGCAGTGGACGAGGGTCCCATGCCCCGTGTCCCCGCCGTCCCACGGTACCCTCAGGCTCGCTGAGCAGTGGCCGTGCCTGGGTGGTGACTGGAGCGGCCACTCTGGGTCACTGGAGGACTCTGTGTCTCTTCTTGTGTCAGGGGCTTCTCTGACAGGTGGGACGGGGGCAGCTGGCACCGCCCCTTGGCGGTCTGGCTCCTTCAGGGCAGGCTGCCTATGCCCACCCACCCTCCCCGTGGGCCGGAGCATCCCTGGGCCCAGACGCAGCCCACGGTTCTGAAGGAGGGAGTGAGGTCTTGCCCTCTGGCCCTGCTGGGGCCCTTGCAGGCGGCCCCGGCCGGCTTGCCAGCCTCAGGCTGCAGGAGCCAAGCCCTGAGCCCTTGAGGCTCGCTCTTCGTTAGCCCCAAGCTCACAGGGCCAAGGTGCAGTCACATACAGATGGAGTTGGAGTCCCTGACAGCATGGCTCCAGTTTACCGGTGTTTTTGCCTTTATGGTGGGTTTACTGGGATATTAAGTACACTTTTAAAAAGTTTATTTGTTTATTTTCATCTACTTAAAAGGTAGGGTGAGACAGACAGAGACCAATTGATGTTCCAAATGTCTGTGCACACCCAAATGCCTCCAATAGCCAGGGCTGGGCTGGGCCACAGCCAGGAGCCAGGAACTCATTCCTGGTCTCCCATGTGGGTGGCAGGGAGGCGGGCACTTGAGCCATCATCTGCTGCCTCCCAGGCACACTGGCAGGAAGTCGGATCAGAAGCCGAATGGCCAGGACCCGATCAAATCAGCACTCTGGTAAGGGACGCGGGCGCCCCCAATGGCAGTTTGCCCCTCTGCACCACCACATGGCCCCACGCAATGCGTTTCTGACAGGTGGCCTTTTCGGTTTATGCTGAGTTTATCAGACAGAACCCAGCGTAAGTCAGGGGGCCTCTGCAGCCCCGCCCCAGACCCTGACGTGAGGCGTCCAGGGCTCACAGGACCGCAAGCTCCACGTCTACATGCTGGAGGCAGAGGACACGGGATGTGGCCAGGATGTGGACCCACCAAGTCATCTGCCCACGGCTGGGCCCACAGCCAGACTATGTTTCCCAGCCTCCTTTGCAGCTGGGGCTGGCCACAGGCGTGAGCGGCAGCCCGCGGGCTGTGGGTGGGAGTGTCCCCTGCCCAGGCCTGCGCCCCGCTCTGCCCGTGGGTGGGGGTCCACTGTGGCTCTGGATGTCACGCGTGGAAGACAGCGGGCCCTCGAGTGACTGCGTGGAGCTTCCCGGCCACCTCCCAGCCCTTGGGCGGGCTGAGCCCGAGACTCCAGGCCCTGGGTGAGCGGCATGGTGTCCAGCCCTCACCCAGCTCCCGGCCCCACCCACCCTGCTCCGTACCTTTGGGTCCCAGGAGCTCCGGGTGCCTCTTCCACGATGCGTGGAGGTCTCGCCGGGGCTGCCCACTGGGGTCGAAGCTGGGGGGCTGCAGTCTGTCGTCTGGGCCGCGCGGCGCCTCAAACACAGGCACGGGGTCTGCGTAGAGAGAGGGCACAGAGGTGGGGACGGTCCCAGGAGGGCGATGCTGAGGCCACAGGATTCCCTGGGTGGCCCCGCAAGCAGCCAGGGAGCCCGTCCACAGAGGCCACCTGGTGTCACTCCGACGGCTCGGGGAGCACCAGGTCTGCCTGCTTTAGGAACGAGCAGTCTTGGCACCTACTTGGGGGCGCCTGTGCTGTCCCCACAGGTCCGGTGTCCCGTCCAGCTGGGCGCAGCGACAACTGTCACACAGCCGCGTTTTCTTGGCTGGATGATGCCATCGCTGACGGCCGTGGGACTGTGCCTTGCAGATCACCAAGTACGGTCCACGCTCTGCAGTCCACCCGAGGCCAACCGCTCCATGGCCCTCCAGGCAGCGCTGCCTGAGCCGGCCTGCCCCGAGGCCACTCCGGCCGAAGACTCACAGCACTGCCCTGGCTGTGTGGTGGCAGGGAACGCTTAGAGCCCGTCGCGCCTTCCGGCCTCTTGGGGTCAGGGCTGCCACGCAGGCTGGCCCTCGGCCCCTCCTGATTTTCCCCCAGAGCATGCTCACACACAGAAGCCCCGGCCGCTTCTCAGAGCTCCTGGAGAAACACCAGTATTCGGGGCGTGTGCTGTCAATCAACGACGGACTTGCCGGGGTGAAACACAGCCCTAGGCGCGGGGGAGGGGGGTGGGGGTCCCGGCTGAACCAGGCTCCGCCCCCCACCCTGTCACCTGCGACCACTTCCTCCTCCTTGGCCTGTGAGTCCAGCCCCACTTCTTCCAGGCCGTGGCCTCCCCACCCAACCCAGGGCAGGCCCAGGGGAGCACACGGCATCATCAGCGCCGCAAGGCCCCCAGGGAACGGGCCCCCAGGACCCGGCAGGCGCCCACCATCTTCACCGGACGAATAGGCTCTGGAGGCCAGGTGACGCGCAGAGGGGAGCGGGGAGCCCGGGATCTGGGTGTGGCAGCACGATGGCTTCCTGTCCTAGCGTCCTAGCGTCTGCACACGGTGCTCCACAGCGAGGGGCTCGGGGCCTGGGCCGGTCTCTAACACACCCCAACCCCCTCTCTTCCTGCCGTCTCCCTCAGAGTCTCCTGCCCAGCTGCTGGCCACTGCTGTCCTCTGGGGGAGGGGTAAAGGTGTGTGGCCACGGCCTCTGCGGTCACAGGTCCCTGGACCCTGGTCTCATGCCGTTTGCTTCTCAGGGCTGCTGTGTGATGTTGGCAAGTGACCTGACTTCTCTGTGCTACAGCCAAAAGCAGCAGCTTCATGCGGCCATGGCGAGCAGCACTCAACACAGTGGGTGACGCTTGGTCCGCTCAGAACGGACGGGAGCCCTCGCTCTGAGATGTCGGCCTCCTCCTCGGGCCCCCGGAAGGCACCGCTCACCTCAGAGCTGCAGTACGGAGCCTCTGCCAGGAGCGTCTTTCCCTGCCCTGCTCCTCTGAGCTGACGAACACTTGGGTGTCACGTTCCGTACTGCGACTCGAATGCTGCTTCTTCCAGGAAGTCCTCTGATACGCGCTCTCCCAGCTGCCTGTGCCCTCCCTTCCCCACTGCAGTTAGGATTTACATCACTTTACAAGTCTGCCTAATTAACACCCACCAGACTGCAAACAGCACCACGGGGGTGGGCTGGCACTGCATCTGTGCTGTCCTCCCCCGACTGGGCCCCTTGGGCCTATGACACGGCCTGACACACCGTCCAACCCAACAAGTATCTGCCGATGGGAGAAGTGAGGCAGTGCCTGTGCATGGGGCCTTCAGGTATGGCTGGAACAAGGTGACCTTGGTTTGGTTCCTCTGCCGCCTGTTGGCTTAGGTGGTGGAAGGCTTGGACAATGGGCGTCTGTGCCGAGGTAAGCAGGTGCAAGGCAGTGCTGCCGTGGCTCTCCTCTGTCAGCAGCCCCCCCATGCCCCGTCATTAGGCAAGGCTGCTCAGCAGGGTACGCCATTATGTCTCCCCGGGCTGATGTAATTATACATTGACATAATTAACCCAGCAAGCGCATTAGGCAGGCCAGCTAAAAATTCATCTATAATTATTTGTTGTGTGCATGCTAATGAGTCCATCTGCACTGCCTTTGCACAACACGAACAAATTAATTTACAAGTCTGGGTTTTTTAATAAGTTCAAGGAAACGCTTCCTATTGTGTCCTGGCTTCTGAGAAAGGAAGAAAAAGGCGCCCGGCGCTGGCCAGGGTCAGGGGAGTCAGGTAAACACAGGAGGACCCAGGCTGAGTGGGTCACGGCGCTCGTCTGCCTCCACGAGGGCGGGGAGGACCTGGCTCGGGGCCCAGGGGCTCGGCCGGGCTGGAGCCTGCCCAAGCCAAACCACTGCTCTCAGGGGGAGCAGACGCCCGTCACTCGCACGGGCACACACGCACTGACACTTGGCTCTGCTCTGAGGCCCCGAGGGTCACCTGTGGCCGGAGGGCAACCAGCCTCGGTGGCCCCGACAGGGCTGAGGAGGAGGGGTGGGCGGCCCCTTGGGGCAGGTCCCAGGCGTCTCCAGGCATCGGCCCTCCACCTTCATTAGCTGCTACGGTCATCAGGCTCATAGAATCAGAAGTCCAGCCCTGCGTCCAAATCCCACGGAGCCTTGAGCCTCAGTTTCCCCATTTGCAAAGCGGGAAAAACACGAGTTCCTGCTTTGCAGGAGTTATTATTGGGAGACGAGACGGAGCTGCCGAGGAAGGCAGCAGGACTGAGGGATCGGGGTCGGCTCCTGTTCCACTTAGCCACGGGGCCCCTGGACTGCTGACTGCTTGCAGCCTCCATCCTCTTGTGTGTAAAATGGGGCCGCACGTGCAGGGAGGCGGAGAGGCTGGGAGGGAGGAGGTGTGAGGACCAGGGCGCAGGCGAGGCACAGAGAGGGAAGCGCTGGCCCCTGCCATCCTGCCAGGCCCCGGAGGGTGCCGGGTCTCACACAGGGTGTGCTGCGAGCTGTGTGCTGGGTGCGGGACGGCGGCAGCCTCACGAGTTGGCATCCGTCCCCGGGAGGCCCACAGCCCAGTGGTCTCGCTTTGAACTAGCTGCACTCTGGGACTTGGTCCAGTTTGGAAAGTCACAGTGGGGAGGGATCTGCCTGATCAGTGTGTCCCCTGCACACCGCCCCAGTGCCCAGACGGGGAAGAGAAGGGTCCGCTGGGCGACGTCAGAGGGTTGGTGGCCACTGGGCCTCTTTCTCCCACACTGTGCCCCCCCCCTTTTGAGGGGGATGCAGTTGGGGTGGAGCGTGCTCAGACGCCTCAGCCAGTCAGGCTGCAGCTGAGTCCTTCTTCTTCTTCTTCCTTTTTTTTTTTTTTTGGACAGGCAGAGTTAGACAGTGAGAGAGAGAGACAGAAAGGTCTTCCTTCCATTGGTTCACCCCCAGATGGTTGCTATGGCTGGCGCGCTGCGCCGATCCAAAGCCAGGAGCCAGGTGCTTCTCCTGGTCTCCCATGGGGTGCAGGGCCCAAGCACCTGGGCCATCCTCCACTGCACTCCCTGGCCACAGCAGAGAGCTGGCCTGGAAGAGGGGCAACCGGGACAGAATCCGGCGCCCCAACCGGGACTAGAACCTGGTGTGCCGGCGCCGCAGACGGAGGATTAGCCTAGTGAGCCGCGGTGCTGGCCTCTTCTTTTTTTATTTTTATTTTTATTTTTTATTTTTTTTTAATTTTTTGACAGGCAGAGTGGACAGTGAGAGAGAGAGAGAAAGGTCTTCCTTTGCCGTTGGTTCACCCTCCAATGGCCGCCGCGGCCGGCATGCTGCGGCCGGCGCACTGCGCTGATCTGATGGCAGGAGCCAGGTGCTTCTCCTGGTCTCCCATGGGGTGCAGGGCCCAAGCACCTGGGCCATCCTCCACTGCACTCCCTGGCCACAGCAGAGAGCTGGCCTGGAAGAGGGGCAACGGGGACAGAATCCGGCGCCCCGACCGGGACTAGAACCTGGTGTGCCAGCGCCGCTAGGCAGAGGATTAGCCTAGTGAGCCGCGGCGCCGGCCGGCCTCTTCTTTTTTTAATGATTATTTTTTATTTATTTGACAGGCAGAATTACAGAGAGAGCGGGAGAGAGGTCTTCCATCTGCTGGTTCACTTCCTAGACGGCCAAAGCTACTAGGGCTGGGCCAGGCCGAAGCTAGAAGCCAGGAGTTTCTTCCATTTCTTCCAGGTCTCCCATGTAGACTGCAGGGACCCAAGCACTTGGGCCGTTAGCAGGGAGCTGTATTGCAAGTGGAGCAGCTGGGAACGGAACTGGTGCCCACGTGGGACGCACTGCTGTGGGTGGCAGCTTCACCTGCTACACCACAGTGCCAGCCCCGGCAGCTGAGTACTAACAGCCAGAGCCCTCGACACAGGTTAGAATCTGCTCTTTGTCACTGAAGTGGGCCCTGCTGTATCCCATTTTACAGGTGGGAAAGGTGAGGTCACCTCCCTAAGGCCAGGCCGGAATCCAGGCAGGATAACTGGAGCTCCTCCAGCGTCCTTGCTGGGGAACCTCCAACAGCTCTGGGGCTCAGTGCGGAAGTGTCGCTGGGACGGTCTGTGTCAGGTCCGGTCCTGTCAGGGAGCAGGTGGGGTCCTCACTGCCTGGCTGACTGCCCTGTTCTCCTCGGGGGGCTGAGTGCGTGCACACTTCAGATTCCCACGTGGCTTCCAATCTGGATGTTCCGCCTCCCCCGGGCAGGGAGGGTCACCTGACTCGGGCCGGCCACTCAGCTGCCCTGGGAACTTGCACCCTTCTCTCCAGCCATCTGCTGCTCTGGTCCTGTGTCGGCCGGGCAGTCTCTCTCTTCTCCCCTGCCCCAGCCTTCTCCTCGATTCCCTTCCTGCTCCACAGTGTGGCCAGAGGTGGCTTTGGCAAGACATGAGGTCTCCCAATGGACCCGGGGCTGGATTCCGACAAAGGGAGGACTCGGAGCTTCCTGGTCCAACTGCTTCGTTTCCCGACGAGGTCAAAGCCGGGCCCAAGGACAGGGACTGAGGCGCAAGTGCTCACGTGGGAGTGGGGGGGGGGGCAGG